ATTTTGCCTGAAGTGGACATTACTTTGACAGTGGCCTCTCAATGCACAAAGGGAGAAGGGTGGCTGTCTCTCTCTCAGATGATAACCTGATATGCAGAAATAAAAAGCGTATTTTAGATGTAAAGCTCACATAAAAGAAAAAGAAGTTGTCTCTCTTCCAGTCATACAATAAGCATCATTCATTTGGAAAGGTCAATATTAATTAGCAAATCCAGCAGGGGTATTCTGTCACAGGCTTTTTTGTGCATCTGGTTGTTCTTTGTTGCAAATGAAAGATAATCCATATTCAGTTAGAGATCTGAAAGCTGTCTCATCTCTGAAATTCCAACCTCCTTTAAATGACTGGTAAATATAATTAACTTAATTTTAAAAATTCAACATATTCAAGCAGATTATCCTTGATTTCTGTTGTGGCTGCTTCCAAAGTTCTGAATTTTTAAGTTTAAAATCAAAGGCAATCAAAGGCAAAAAACCAGCAGATAACCAAATTGAGTTACGTGCCAGACTGACAGGACAGTGGCATTTATCCTTGGGGAAGGGCTGGCATTTCTTTCATGCCTGGATTTCAAATAAATGTGGAAAAGGAAAAAAGACAACACCCCCATCTTTGGGTCACAAACCAAACCCCAAATTCACTCTGCATTGCTCTGAAGACCATTTTATACTTTTAAGATATTAATTATCCATGCCATGGAATTGGGGAAGCACGAGCTGAGCTGCTTTGCCCCTTTCAGGAAGACTCCAGAGAAGATGACTGTTAGGATTGCCTGTCATCTACAAATGCTTCTTTGGTCAAAGGGAGGGGGGCTCTAAATGGCTCCCGTTATAGATGCAGATGCCAGAAGCTTGTGAAGTCTGTATGGAGGATGGAAAGCATGAGCTAATGGTGACAGAGGCTAACTGCATTATGTAACCCCAAAGTTTGTATTTTAAAGACCACCACGGCTCACGAAGCAATAAAGTTGAAACTGTAGCTCCTCCTTCCTTGAAGTGTTTTGTTGTAAATTTTTCACATGGGTAATGGATAATTAGAAATAGGATTTTAGTCTACAAATACATATTAAGAAATGAACACTAAAAAAAACCCTTAAAGCAACATACGGCTTTTAAATAGATTACAACTTCTGAAGTATGCAATGACTTTAAGATATTTAGGCTATTACACAGAATATCAATAGGAGTTATACTCTTGAGTGACTTAAATTTCCATGTTGCATAACTATACAGTTTCTATTTACCACTTAATACTGAATTTAATAATTCTGATTAACTACTGAAAAAGCTCTTCATTTTTTCTGACTTCACATGCTCAAGCTCAGTTTTCTTTAGCTGATTGCTTTATTAGAGGATTTGTTGAAACAGCCATGTGTACCTATCTAGTCTACAAGCTGTTTGGAAGAATAATTTACCTCCATGCACATTTATAAGGAGCTCTGAACATAATATTAACAAGAAAAGATCAAAACCAAATTAGCAACTATTTATTAATTGAACAGTTGCATATTATACTGCTATAAGTATTTTTTAGTCAGGACGGTCTTACTGCAACAGTATCCTTATGCTTGTCTTCCTTGTCACCTGAATCTCTTGCATGAGAACTTATGGAATTTGGGGTAGGGGGTAATTCTTTTATTTCTTGGATGTTCCCGGACAACTGCTCTAACAATGATACTTTTGCAGCTGTTAGCTTCCCTTGTTTCGCTGTTGTCACAGATTTCCCATATACTGCCTTCTTTCCACGCTGCATTGCCCTGCATGTTGCCTGAATAACACCTCAAAGATGGCCATTGTGTATTTTGCCACGTATGTTATTTAAATGAAAGCTTCCATATTACTTAAATTAATTCCCTATTTCTTGCTGCTTGAGTCTGACTTTCACATCTGTTTTAAATCTTTACCTATAACTCCATGGACTGCAAGGACACCTTCTTCCTTATTCCCATCCCTCTAATATTCTAAATAAGCAGAGACATTCATCTTTTTTTTGACCTCTTCTCCAGAATATTTTGATGGAATTCTCTCCCACTACTTGCAAAGTCTGATAATAACACAGCAGAATATTATGTATGTATCTCCCCTATGGTTACAGATTGGGCTTTCCTGGATATCCATTTGTAATGGCCACATATATTTTGCTTCTGATTGTTCACCCAGCATTGCATGATCTATTAAAGAGGTGTTCTAAGAAGCAGTTTCAGGTAGTCTATTAGAAAAACAACACATTTTATCACACCTTATCGGTATCTGACTGACCATTTAAAACTCAGCTACTGACCTGATATTCTTTCAGTGCCTTATGAATAGATTTGGTGGTCTGAGATAATTTTTCTAGGGGACAGAGGTCCCCATTACAACTCATCACAGAAATTGGCAGCATGCTAATAAATCTCAGCATAGGCACCAAGGATGAGTAGATAGGGAAGAAATCTGTTGTCTCTTCCACGTCAGAGACATGAAAGATTTATAAGGGAAACCTTGTAGCGTTGCTGTCACTAATGCTGAACAGAGAGATTTTGCCAGTGAGTTTAGCAAACTAGAAATCTTCAAGAACACTATTATTTATTAACAGCCTGTGTCAGTGACTTACACTACAGATATTAGCATGTAATTTATTTATACAGTATGGCACAGCACTTATTCATGGCACTATCTAGATTTGTACAAATGGAAGGGCCTTTCCCCCAAAAGCTGCAACTGACTTTAGCCCAGCTATAGTAATTTGGATAACAAAGGGTCTGAAAAAGGAGTAAACCCAAAAGTTCACAACATATGCTCAGCATCCAGGTATTTTTTATAAGTTTTACATTGGATCTTTTACCCGTAAAAATATGTACATCCATTACAATCTCGGAACAGCATCTGAAATACAGTACATAGTGATATTAGACTGAATTAAGAAAGTAGGCTTGCATGGCAGGACATAAAGGTTTACAGTGACTAGTAAAGTCACTGTAGCTGGTTTGGTTGAGAAGTGAAGTCAGTTATGGGGAAAGGTGGAAAGGCGAGCTCAGCTAGGAGAGCAGGGTACTGATTACGCGTATGCACTGTGTGTAAAGCAACGACGAAGAGGAATCAGATGCACAGTGAAGGTACTAAAGAGATAATCGTGCATATATTTGATTTCCCAGAATGATTGTTTTTTATGATATATCCTTCCAGGTTGCTATGGGCTTTATGTAATTAGTTTTGCTTGCCTCTGAGAGCTATACTCAAAACCACTCCAATCAGCAGTACGTGGGCCTATTCCTTTTAACGCTTTGGAAGTTTTACCATCACTGTATCAATTTTGTATTGCACATGTGTGTGCAGACACACTCAGCTTCTCAATGAGCTTGACTTGAGTTCAGTGCGGCAACGCTACATTAAATGGCTATTTTCTAACTCATAGATCTGGAAAATGGGGTTTAATCAATGACCATTAGATCTTGCGCTCCCTTCTGGCATAAAATGCCTTCTTTCATCCAGGGTTACCGTATTGTTGTTTTAATAAGTTATGATTGGCATTTGGCACAGAGTTACAGGGGCATGGAGGCCTTATTAGTAGGAAGAAATGAAAGTATTATGGAACAAAACAATTAAATGGGACAGGATAACTCACAGCAATGTACCAGATTGTACCATGCTCGCATTTCACTTCATGGTATTGAATTCCCCCTACAAGTACAAGTGGATATAGCTAACAATGGTAAAACACTTCTCTGCTTAGGAAATTGTCCTGAAAGGTTATTTTCTGTAATTGGAGACCACATCCTACGAGGTTCTGAGCATGTGCACTTCTCCTTGCAGCCAAAAGGCCTAGTCATGGGCTCTTTACTGCATTTACTTCAGTTAAAAAAATAGCTTGTGTGCTAAATCTGTGCACCATTTATGTCTCACTTAAATCTTCACATGTTTTCTTCCCCCACTGCTGCCCCTACTAATAAGATCCACCTACCTCAAAAGGTTCAAGTAGGAACTGAGTGACATAAAACCTCTTATGTGCCCTTGGCACTAAGATAATTTCTCCTGAATGTCCTTCCCAATGTTTCAACACTGCAAAAGAAACTGTGATCCAATACTGTGAGGTGGAAGTGTCCTGGAAGCCCTGGTCCTGAAGGTGGCTAAATCAGAGCCACCACAGTTCGTTCATTAGGTTCTCAGCTCCTAGTGGTTTTCAGTCTCAGAAGACCAGGAATAAACAGGTTGTTTGCACAAGGCAAAGTGCCCAGGCTTGCCAGATTGCTGGTGGGAAGAACCATATTCTGTCTTATCCAAACTATAAAGAGCTGATAGCAAGACATTATGAACATGCATTTTCCTTCATCCTTTACTTCGAGAACAAAGACAGTCCCACATTTTAACATTTTACTTCCTTGTTCTTATGTAGGTTTCGGATATGAACTGTCATGAATTGGTGGCTCTGTCTCAGTGTCTCACAGGCTACATAAAATCACTTTAGGACAGATGACACCTATACCAACACAATACCTTTTTCTCCCCCTCCAATATTACTTACTGCATTATTTCCTCCGTATCTGTACAGACACATTATTGAAAAAGTACATATAGGGAATGCTGGGCTAAATTTTTAGGAAAGACTCCAACATTTTTTAATCCAGAAAATGGATTCAAAGTTCTGAAGACAGTTTAAATGACAAAAATTTACTTGCAGCAGTATTCAGAACAGTAGTTGTGTATTCAAAGTATGCTCATTTACTTAAATACTTCCACTCCCCCTATCCCAAATATTTCCTTCGTTAGGAATCATCTCTCTCTTGCTAGAGTTGTGGGCTCTTCACTGATCCCTGCAATAAGAACCACAAGAGTGACCAGTCACAGACGTGACTGTTACCAAGTTCATAGGTAATACTTGTATAGATGAGAAAATTTTCTTTCTTTTGCTGTTTTCAACTGTGCCTGCAACTGAGAAGCTAGTACACTGGGATATGCACACATCTACATGCTGTCCGTGAATAATAAGACTTTAATGACATATGGGGATCAATGAAGCAAGGACTTACGCTTGGAATGTTTGTCACAGAGAGCCGAGGCCCTCATGTCGCAGAGTCTCAGGGATCCTTTGCTGCTGCTGTAGACAAAGAGATTGCAGTGATGGGGATGAAACTCAGAGGCTGTAATCACTTCCGTCAGGTCCTCCATATTGGCTGGCTTTATATCTACAATGTCTGAATGGAAGTTTCATTAAGGAAAATGCAGTTGTACGCAGGTAAACCATGACTCTTACTGACTTCTTGAAGGAAGCATGATTATCTAAATGTCCATACGTTTAATGCTTTTAGATAAAGATATACTCATTTGTTTGGCAGTAGGGTGTTCTTAAATTTCCATACCTGCCCCATCTACACCAAACTCAAAGAGCCACTAGTCATCAACAGTTTTACAGCAGATGCCATTAGTAGGTCAACATTTGTCCATGGTGTGCAAAGACATCAAGAAACAGTATTCCAGGGGATTTGGAATTCTCACCTTCATTAAAAGTAATACAGAGCAGGTAGTTATATCTCCTGTAGTTGCTACTGCAATCACTGCTCTATCCCAGATAATACTGATTGATAGGGAACAATGCACAGCTCAGATCTGCTCACTCCATTAAAGGCTCACTGCCTTTTATGACCATGTACCTTATGCTAAAAAATACACGTAGCTTAAGCTAAAAGCCTCAAACAATAAATGTACTTTTTTTTGCAAAGGCAAATGTGCCAAACACAGAAGCATTTATGCAAATAGCTTTGTGTGAATATATACTAATATAATATCTTTTCTAAAGAAAATTGTGCACAGTATTGGTTTTGCTATTTGAATACTTGCAAAAGACATACCTGAAAAGGTATTCTTGGGGTTTTATGTAAACGATGCTCACTAGTGAAATCAGTATGAATTTCTGTGACTGAGAACTGTACATCTGAATTATTTAAGTGGACATATCTGGAACAAAAATACATCAAAGATCTAGTCTCCCAAGCACAAAATTGTCAGTCGGATCACCAAAGATTATCCACATGAAGTACAGCTCACATAGTGCCTCTCCAACACATATATATGTAGTCGTACATAGTACCTGCCTTGGTGAACTTAAAAACCAGGACCTGATTAGCATGTATTTGGAGGAGAAGGCCAGCCTGTGGAAGATTGCTTATAACGAAAAGAATGAAAGAAAGGGTCCCATGTGGGGGCTGTAAGAAAGCAATAGGTGTAGAAGCATAAAATGAAAGGATATATATGTAAAGCAGTACATTTAAATAAGACTGTACATTTTCATATGGCCTTCAGCAATCCCTTGTAGATAAGCCATCCAAATGTTAACAAATCCTTCGAACAAGAAGAGTAACATTACCCTATTTTACTGATGAGGCTGTGTGAGAGGCAATAAAGGATTTGCATAAGATCACATGGGAAATGCATGACAGAACAAACCCAGATCTACTGAGTCCCAGTTCAGTGCCCGAAACACAAATCATCTCAGTGCCTGGATTCCCCAAACATAAAATTTGAATCAGCTGAAGTTCAAAATTTAAACATCTCAGAGGATAAGATAAATGAGAAATCTGTTTTACTGATGGCAAGATAAATCACATATTGTGATACTAAGCCTGTTTCTGTTCCCACTGTGCCCACTTCCCAAATGGAAGACCTTTAATTGATTTCTGTGGGAATGGGGTACAGTCTATCACCACCTTTACACTCTATACTTTGATCTTTCCCAAAAATGCAGATCTGGGACACTACACTGAAATTAAACATAATACAAAAGATTCAGAGATAATTATCTCGATGGCTTTGCATAGACAAATACATCACACTGATGGGTTTGTTTTTTTTTTACACCAAGTGGTTTCAAAAGGAAAATATCAGCAAAACTATGAATATTTTGGGACGCTTAATAACAATTGGGAATGAATTAATGTTGCATTTCAACCGCATTCCCACTTACTTCCACTATCACATTTGCATCCATCTCCAAGAATCCATCATGATTAACATTAGTGCAATGAACGTTAAGATGTCGCAACATTGATTTATCCCTTTTCCAAGGTGTTACTAAGTATTGTTGAAAATCAACAGGAAAAAAATAACCTTTATTCCATTATTTGTATTTGGTGAATCTCTCTGTTGTGGTTTAGGCCCAGCCAACAACTAAGCATTACGTGGCCGCTCGCTCACTCCTCTCCCCTGGTGCAATGAGGAGGAGAAAATACAATGAAATGCTCATGGGTTGAGATAAGGACAGGGAGGGGATCACTCACCATTACGGTCATGGGCAAAAGAGACTCAACTTGGGGGAAAAAAACCTCAATTTAATTTGTTACCAATCAAATCAGTGTAGGATAACGAGAAATAAAACCAAATCTTAAAAGACCTTTCCCCCACACCTCCCTTCTTCCTGGGCTCAACTCCACTCCCAATTTTCTCTCCCTCCTCCCCACCAGCAGCGCAGCGGGATGGGGAGTGGGGGTTGGGGTCAGTTCATCACACGTTGTCTCTGCCGCTCCTTCCTCCTCAGGGGCAGGACTCCTCACTCTTCCCCTGCTCCAGCGTGGGGTCCCTCCCACAGGTCCACAGGTCCTGCCAGGAGCCTGCTCCAGCGTGGGCTTCCCACGGGGTCACAGCCTCCTTTGGGCACCCACCTGCTCTGGCGTGGGGTCCTCCATGGGCTGCAGGTGGATATCTGCTCCACCGTGGACCTCCCTGGGCTGCAGGGGGACAGCCTGCCTCACCATGGTCTTCCCCACGGGCTGCAGGGGAATCTCTGCTCCGGCACCTGGAGCATCTCCTCCCCTCCTTCTGCACTGACCTGGGGGTCTGCAGGGCTGTTTCTCTCACATCCCACTCCTCTCTCCACTGCAGGTTTTCCAGCAGGGTTTTTTTTTTTTTCTTCCCCTTCTTAAATACGTTATCCCATACGTGCTACCAGCATCACTGATGGGCTCAGCCTTGGCCAGAGGCAGGTCGGACTTGGAGCCGGGGAAGCTTCTAGCAGCTTCTCCCAGGAGCCACCCCTGTAGCCCCTCCCCTGCTACCAAAACTCCACCACACAAACCCAATACAGTGTCTCAAGAAATACCTTTAAGTAAAAGCAATTGCTTTCAGTGATTGAATTGCTTTCAGGAGTTCAGAGAAATTATAGTAACTCAATACAAGAATTTCACCTCTCAGCAGAGTGATGAATAATTGCTGAGTGATGAGAAAGCTATAAAATATAAATAGAGTATGTGAAACAGTCATGGTAAGTATCATTTTTCTGGATGCTGAAGACAATATTGATGAATTTCCCTTCATTGCATGAAATGAATAACCCTATGCTGAATAATGAAATTAAATATTCCATTCTCCTGCCAGAAAAGCAGAAAATACTTGAAAGAGACTGCATTTCCAGATGTGATCTAAATCTCCACTGAGAAGGAACCTCATTGCCTACTGAGGATCATAGAGAAAATGCACTACTGAAAATTCATCATTTCCTTAGATTTAGAAAAAAAAAAAACAGTAACACTTGTATTGAAGTAAACAATCAAGGGAATAGAGGGTTGCAGAAGAGATTTAGCCCAAATGCATTTGTAATAATAAATGGAAAAACAGCCTTTGCTTTGACAGCTACAGAACCCAATGTATCAAAAGAAGCACGTCACACAAAAGAACATTATCCTCCTCTCATGATTTTTGCCAGGTATTTGAAAACAATCAAGTACAGCTTGACATGTGATGTGTGGGAACTGTATTTAAACTAGCATGACATGGTAAGGGCAAGCATCTCCCTTGGGACATTTTGTATTTCTATTTTTCCATCTTCCCTTTGTGTCGTCTTCTTCCTTTTAAGCACAATGTCACATGACACGAAAATATAAAAAAAACTGGAACAGACAGTGTGCTTCAGAAACAGGTCCTTTGGTGAACTTGAAGAGCAAAAAGAGGAGGGAATCTGGCAGAAACTGATTAAATGAAAACTCCATTGCTAAGCAGAAAAGTATTCTAATCGCACAAATCTGTAGAGTCGCCTTCTACACTGATGACTTCCCTTACAATCCTGTCTTCTGGAGGGATGTCTTGAATGGGACACCATCCCTCTCTCCCCCAGTTCATTCACATCTGAAATACCAGTCACATCTGACTCCTGTTGTACACAAGTAATATGGTTCATTTTCAGAGGGTGGACAAAACAACTAAGACCAAAGCTATCTAAGACAGAAAGACCAAACAGTTCACCACTGGCAGTGCACTAGGATATAATTCTGTTGTCCTAAAAAAGCTGGTGTTCCTGTGCCTGAACGGGGTAGGAATTTCCCCTTAGAAAATGAAAAAGATCTTCACACTGCTTTGACTCCCACACACGCTTGCCAAGAACGAGGCATTTCGATCCCTTGTAGTTACTTGCACTAAGGGAAGGCTGAACTAGCGCCTTGCCAGCAATGGGCTGAAGTGCACTGGCAGTCTTTTAATTCATTAACATTAAAACAAGGATCAGAAAATATCTTCTTGCTCGCAAAAAATAGAACAGGTCTGTCCCTCCTAACCCAACTGTTTGCTGTCTTATACACCAGGTCTCCCCTCCATTGCCTTGTTCAGTGAAACAAGATAAAGCTATGAAGAGGCCAACAGATTTTCTAGATGCTCTCCACAGCAAAATGGAAACGAAAGGTCTAGCATGCTCGGAGACCACAATGGTGAGAGATGATGTTTTTACAGTTGGGTTAGTAGAGCTACAAGACCAGGAGTTAATTTTGGGAAAGCCAACAAAGATACTCTAAGGCAATGTAAGCTTTAACTTTGGCTGAGTGTCTATGTTGCTTTCCCAAAATTATTCAAGAACACAGCTGTATAACAGGAGAGCGAGCATGCAGGACAGGACCTGACAGAGAGGAAAAAGGAGGCTTTAGGGAAAGATCTGAGGGAATGGAGGGAGGGAAGCAAACCAGTGGGAGAGCAAGGAGGAAAGAGCATAAGGAAAGGCATGATTAACAACCTGCAATGATACACGGTGAGAGGGATGTGATCTGAGTACACGATTCAGTTACATGGTATGTTTAGTTCTAATCCAGTATTTTGTGCTGCTGTTGTGCAGCTGATATTAAAATGAGGATGACAGGAGGAAGAAGATTTGTTCCACTGCCTCTGGGCCACTGATCTAACAGAAATATCCTCCTCTGGGAGAAGTCACTCCATAAAGTTC